CACGGGGTGGGGGGGGTTGTTGTTCCCAGAATTCACGAACAACAACCCCCCCCCACCCCTGCCTATCGCAGGGGTCTCGTTGTAGCAGTACTTTGAATCGTTGTTCGTTGAGTCGCAGTGGAATGGGCATCAATGGGCGCACCTTGCCAGAAAGGTGGAGTGAGGAGTGCCATGTGATGCCGTCTAGTTAGTTGGGTTGATGTTGTGGGTTTTTCGAGCTGGGTGATGTTGATATTGCGTGGTGCTCTCCAGCCCGGCTAGCCGCTGAGGCTTGGTTTGAGGAAGCAGGTCTTGACATGGAATTCGGCCTCCTTCTGCAACTGACTTTGCGTGTAAAGGAGGTAGGTGGAAAGAGCGTCTACAGACGAGAGCCGTTGAACCCCCAGCAGCCCTAGCATCCGAAACACCGAACCCATAAACCCTAACCCCCCAAACCTGAAATTCTAAACTCCTATGGCAACCCTGAGCCGAGAGATTTGAGCAGGTGCTTCTGGACCGATGCCTCAACGGCTTGGCGATAGCAGCGCTCTTCAGCCCCATGGCTTGGAGGGTGTAGGGTTTGGGGTTCAGGGCACAGGGCGCTAGGAGTGTAGAGTCGCAGGATCTGAGGCTTGCTGGCTTCTGGATCTGGGACCTGCATGCCGGAAGGGCACCTGCCCGACTCTTGCCCTAGATGCCATGAACCCCACGCCGCCCTACACCCCAGATAACTCCAAGAACCTTAACTAGCCTTCAGGTATCCCCAGCTTAAGCAGAATCGGCCTGTCTGCTCCAGCTTCATCCGAGAACCCTGAACTCTCCAGCTCGGATGGAGGTTCCCTGACACTGAGCTACATGCTGGTGCCCACTGCTGACAGGGCAGGGCTCCGAGAGCTCGTCGGGGACCCAGATTTGGGATCATTAGGGTTCAGCGCAGAGCGAACTTGAAGCCTGTTTAAAGGCCCTGAAAGCGTAGACCCAGAGCCCTCGAAGGACCATCAGAGCCCTCCGAAGTTTCAGGCCAACCATGCCTGGACCACTTGGAACGCGTACGAGCTCACCACTGCTTTGTGGGGCTTCCCGGAACTCCCAGGATTGGAGAGTTCAATGCTCAGAAACTTGAAGTTCTGACAAGATGAGTCATCAGTCTTGGAGCCCTTGATGCCTTCCCAAAGCCATTTTGAGATAAGGTTTAGGGACGTTTTGGATTCATGGCTTCTTTCGCATGCTTGCTTGACCGTAGACTTCTCGCGGCTCAGCGTGCCGAAACAGTTGCAATGGGTTGCATCCATGTCAGCCTTATGCCTCAATAGATGTACCAACTTGTTTGGGTGCCGAGAGCTCGCTCCAAGACACAACGAAACCCAAGACCTTGAGCTCAAGCTCCAGCCAGCCAAACCTCAACCTTCGACGCTTAATCATGGGGGCCTATACTGACATATACAAACCCAGAGCAGTAATGCTCGCAAGTCAGGACAAAGAACGCACAGTTCACGCTGTTGAAAATCCCAAGCTTTCTTCGCGACCCAGGGTTTCGTGCTCGGCGTCTCTCGGGAGCCTAGGCATCATACTGACACCTGGCTGTGACCGGCACCTTCTGCATGATAACTGCGAGGGTGTTCTCGGGCATTGAGAAGGGTCAAGAGTAGCCTCTGTCACTGTGCGGAGAAGAACCTTGAGCATTGGCCTCCCCAAGGCCAAGGCATACGCTTTTAGGGCCTTCGGGGCAGGAGGCGCTTGCTCACAATCAGGAGATGAGAATGTCTTGTAACGACCGCTTATACTTGAACTGGATAGTGAGAAGGGCAAGCCATCTGACGGGTGCTTTGCATACTGACGCAGGGTCCCCGACCCTAGGACAAAAGATTTGACTAAAGGCTTGAGGATGGCCGTGAATTGCAGGACTCGTGAGCCATCAGATGCAAACCACAAAAGGGATGGTCGATCGAAGGAGTCCTCTTTTCCGAGCCCAGGAATCAGTCATTCGGCTTCTCAGCGAAATGGCCGTGGCCTCGTTGCCGCTTACGCATTCAAACTTCTTCTATGAGCCCTGACGTTCACCACAAGCATGCCACGTTATATGCCATGTACATACTATCCAATGCCCTCGCTTTGGTACTTCCAACCATACGGAATGTCGAGACCCTTGCATCCTCCCACAAACAATGTCCGCCAAGACATCAAGAGAGTAAGCCACAGCTAGCTGTGTTTCTGCAGTCCAAGCTTCCGAGAAGTCCCGAGAAGTGGGGGACAAGCCCGGTTTTGATCCTTGTTGCTCTCGCAAATTTTTTCAGGGTAAGAGCTATGAGACACACTTTCTTTCTACCGGTCCTGGAACGCATTGAGAGGTTGGCTGAAAACAAGGGTGCTTCGACCCGAGAACCGGTCGTCTAGATTGCTTCGTTCCTTGTCTTACCTCAGGGCTTCGCGGATGACGGCCCTCATCTTGTCAATGGCCGTGGGCTTGTATGGTGGACTCTTGCACTGGCGTTGGCGGGCGCCCTGGGAACTGGAGACCGGGCTTGGGGCGCAGGTCGGTAAAGGGACAGGGCATCGGGACTTCGTCCTGGGCTATTCTATGCAGGCGCGAGGCCACGGCGTCACGTGCAGCTGGGGATTCAAAGAGTTTACAGAAGCTTGATGACGCGAAACCGTGTTCACAGGAATGAAGTGACTCGCCTAGATGCTTGATGCTGGTGGCCCGACTCTAGATGACTTATGCCGTGGGCAATCGCCATCATTGGCATCCGATCCCCAAAGCAGTGGGCCCGAACCCCAAACCCTCAGCGCTAAGCACGAAACCCCGAGTGCCCGTTCCTAGGCTCGGTTGGGTTGCCTGGTTCACTCTGACCGGGACTCTCGGCCTGAGGCCATGGAGACGGCAGCAGGGGTTCAGAAACACAGATTTGGATACCGGAGCCAGGGCCGAGGGATGGTGTGGATGCTCGTTTCAGATGGCTTGAGGCTTGGGGTCGGAAGTGTGGACAGTCACTGATGGTGCTGCTGGTTGCAAGGGTCGAAATCGCGAGCCAACGCGGGCTCTCTGTCGGCTCCCAAAGCCAATGCCAGGAACAACGCCGGACTCGACGAAATGCAGAAGCGTGGCAAGCTGGCCGGACAGCCAAGATTCACATTCGTGAAGTCTGGACACGTTCAACATGTGTTGAAGCCCAGAGGCATCCGGGGACCGGCTAGCTTCGTGCTGAGTTGAACGGGGTTTCTCTAGAGCCGGGTCTTTTTCTTGACCCTTGGCGTCGTCTCGTTGTTGGCTTGGGCCACCCGACAGACCGAATCCGATTCCCAAGAGCTTCAGACAAGGCACACTTCCAAACCGACTCCTGCGGTCCTACAGCGGTCCCCAAGCCCTGAACTTGAGTCCCGATCCTGCCAGGGAGAGGCGCCGAGGCATCGCATCTCTGCGTGCGCATCCCAGACGCCGTTTTGGCTGAGACATCGGTCTGAGTCCCATAATAGGACAGGGTTCCTGCTGGTTCGCTTGCTTGAGGCTCTCAGCTTATGATGCCATTGCCCGCAGGTTTTCGTCTTGAGCTGGCTTTCTACTCATTAAGCCTCGAGTCAAGCACATGAACAGGACCCCGCTGTCCCACACCCAGAAAAACGACCCTGGCTTTTTAGGATGTTGCGGGGAGGGGCAAAACCACAGGCGCGCTGCTTTGGAGATGTGGTACCTGCTTCTCGGGAATATCTTGTGGCAGGCTTGGGTGCTGTTTGGTACCTGACCTTTGTGGACCTAAGAGGATCCCACCATTTGTGCCCAGAATGTCCCAGACCCAGATCAATAACGGCAACAACGACCACGACCCTTCAATACCTCCAAAGCCCTAAAGTCCAACGGAGTTGCAAAGCCTGACCACAGCCTTCCACCCAACGTGGAACATGGCTTGGCGACATCTGGGGATCAATTTGCAGGCATCTCAGGGGGCTACTAGCAACTCCTGGACTCCTGGTTTCATGGCATTCTAGGTTTCGACGTCGGGTTTCTGGAAGGGCCTTGTGGCAAAATGTCCGCTTCCGTGGACACCCTCAGTGCATCTACAGCCTGGCAAACCTTGCGGTGCCGTCAGCAATGCAGATCCTGGCAGGCATCACTGGCAGTCCTCAAGAACTTGATCAATATGCTAATGCCCAAGGCCTGCATTCCATTCCGACAAGTGCAGGGCGGAAGGCTTTAGCGGCCAGCTCCATGGTACTCCTACTACCCACAGCCTGGACTGCAGGAGCTCCAATTTTACGCCCCTTGGCTGCCGTTCTTCAAGCTGGGCGAGGATGTCGACATTGGCCGGGTCCCCGGCCCTGGAGAGTGGAGATAGGCCGGTGCAGAAGGAAGCCCACTTGCTGAGCAGCTCTTGCCGGTGGCTTCTTTTTGAGGGGAGAGGCTTTGGTGTTCAGACTGTTGGGGTTGCTGGTCGGGTGCTTTCAAACGCCTCCTCAGAGCTTGTAGCAAAGGGCTAGCGGCAGATGCGAGGACATGGGCTTGAAGATCATAGGCGTTGTGGCTGAAGGCAGTACGTCAAGACATGTTGCAGACGTTTGATTGAAGACTGATGGTCCTCGGAGTGAAATTGCATTCAAGATCCATTGCAAGGAGTTCTTGCCCAAGAGCGCTGAGTAAGCCTAGGCAGGAGAGTTAGAAAAATCCACTCTCACAAATTCAACTCCAACCCCAAGTAGGACTCCTCAACACCCCCCAGTTTCAGGCGTGGCTGCATACCACGCCACAAAGGACCTGCTCACTCAAATGGCTTGATCCTTTGAGGGGTTCCTTCAACCCTAAACCTTAAACTTCTGCCAACTGAAGCTTCGGCGTTGCTGTCGCTGAGCATTGAGCTATGCCGGATTCAAGGGTTGTTATGGGGCGTAGGCATGGGTCCCCCAATATAGAAGCCGAAATGACTACCAATAGTATTCGGTAGAGCTTCTTATTATCATGATAGCATAAGATAGGCCAAAGCACTATTCGAATTATTAAGGCCCCTATATTGCACAACTGCATTACCCTAAGTCCAACCCATGAGCAGATATTAAGTTTCCATCACGTTTGGTAAAGGCTCGGTGGAGGGTTTGGGGGGCGTGTGGCTGAGAATCCCCCCCAGTTATTGCAGCTTTTCGCTGTTGTGGGACTGAGAGGGCCGGTGGCTTCTGAAGCCGTAAGAAGGCCTCCACGGTGCTGTAGACCAACCTAAGCGCCATACACCACTCGGCTACGACAGCTCTTTGAAACCCTCGCCAGAACGACGCAGAGCGAAGGCCTAGAGCCGAGAAGCCCCGACGTCTTGATTTGCGGTCGACACGTCCTAGGCCCTAGGCCTAGGCCTGTCCTGGCATCAGGCTTAAAGGCTTTAGGCTTTCTGTTTCTAAAGCAGGAGGGCAAGGAGTCCGAAGTGGGGCCCCGGCACTTTGTCATCAGCGTCAGGCGATGGCTTTGCGCTTCAGGTTTGCTGATGGGTTTAGTATCTAGGGCTCAGGGCTTGAGGGTTTAGGATTTCGAGTGTGAGGTTTGGGGATCTTGGATTCGGGATGCCTTTCCAGGAGGTTACGGGTTAGGAGCTCACGATTGCGATCGTCGACGTCGCAGGACATGCAGAGAACAGGTTTGGTCTTCTAGTGTGGCGCACGAAGGATTCGCACACGGAGGCTCAGGGGTCCTTCAGAACTTCAGAGGACAAAGGGGGAAGGCTCTAGGGCAGTTTCTTATGTTCGGAACGGCCAGGTTGTAGGCGCGCCCTTGCCATGGGCATTCGGATGGAATGGGTGAAGGGCATCTCAGCTTAAAACGCTTGAAGGTGCTGGATTCTCTGGGGCCTTAGCATTCGAAGCAAGGGACTAGGCAAAACCTTCGATCCCAGACGCAGGTCCCAGACTTTCACCCTAAGCCCAACCGTCCTAAGCCACATGAATCTGGCTCAGGAGAGGCTTCGGGCTTCTCAATTAACTCCCTGACGGATCTTGGGCGGAGGCATATGGATACTGCACATCCGGATGGTCAGCGAGACCTGCAACTGCACCGAAATACTGCGCCAAACTTAAAGCTCTCAATCTGCTTGCCATGCCACGAGTCATCGCATGAGTAGGTAGAACTTCTCATGCTGTTACTTGCGAGCCTGTTCTCCAGCTCTGCCACTTCACGAAGCCGGCCGCTGAGGCGCAAGACATGTGGACGAAGCCGGGGCCTCGGAGGAGCAAGAATGGTCCTGGGCCTTTAGCCAACCTGAAGCCGTCCCCAGGTGCAAAGACACTTCCGGCGGGGGGCTGATTGCCAACGTCAACTGTTTCTTCCCGCACTTGGCAGGCGCGAGCTGTCCTGAGCTTGACGGGCGGTGCGTTTGAGCCACTTACTTCCAGCGTAGAGGCTGCTGAGCACCAAGCTCCTCAAACAGCTTGTTCTCTGAAAAAAATCGCGAGACAAGAAGTCTTTTGTTCAGCCTGAGCGAAATTGCAACCGTTGTTCCCTCTATTGAACAGCCACAGCCTGGACTCGGTCGTGACGATGGAAGGCTCCACCCACTGCAAAGAGATCAATCTCAGCGGCTGGACGTCTCAAGAAGCTGCACCTCGGCCCACCTATAGTCGCAGCAGCAGCCGCCGTCGTGGTAGTGCACGGAATTGTCGTGGCACGCGCAGAAAGAGCAGTATGGTACTTGTAGCAGCAGTTATGGCAACAAGGGTTTGAAAGTTGCGGAGGAATTATCTGCCAATGCTTGTCTTCTGCATTCTGCCCATTCTGGTCGAAAGTGCTGAAACTGTGTGGGGAAGCGAAGGCGATATTGTGCGAGGCGTTGTCAAAGGTGCAAGTCACATACCGCATGGTAGTTGATGCCCTGCACCAAGAACCTGAGATGTTGACTTCGGGCGTGCCGTCCAACGTCCAAAGCTTACCATGAATCCGGTGAGGACTGCAACCCCTGCTAACCCCGAAGGCACCGTGAACCCCAACCTCTCGGAACTGTTAGAAGCTAGAGGTTGTGCAAGGTTCGATAGGGTCGGTTACACACGCTCTTTCACTTGACATGCCCGTAGAAGACGTGTGCGACCGCCATGAAGACCAAAACATCCTTTGTACAGCCACACAACGGCTCCCCAATCTGGAAGTGCCTGTCACCTGTACGAAGGCATGTGAGGCCCTTAGCGATGATCGACAGACCTCCATATCTGCAGCCATCATGCTTGCCTGGTATCAGGCACAGAGTGCTTGGGTCGGTTTCCTAAGGCACGACATCCGCCAGGTTCTTTACGGGTGTCAGTGGTGCCCTTGAGGCCAACATGCCAGCGCCTGGCAAATGACAGCAAGGCGATGCGCCAAAGCGCTTGCTGGGGGCATCTGGATT